AAGTGAGTCCTATGCGGCGGCTTAGTTCGCACGTTTGATTATCTCTTCCTATGCGTATCTCATGTCCTAAGTACTTATAAGAGGTGGTTTCTTCAATATGCATGCCATTTACTGAAATCTTTTCGCTTAACACAAGATTTGTCATGATTTGTGTTTTTGTGTGGTTGATTTTTAATCCAACTTGTAGGGAGGCTAGGTATAGTTTCTCCAGTTGCGATACTGCATCATCGATTCTGTCAGCAAAAAGGACAATATCGTCAGCAAACCTCAAATGACTAAGCATTTCTCCATTGACATTAATTCCTTTTTCACTCAGATTTGCGTTCTTAAACATATGCTCTAATAATGTTGTAAACAATTTTGGCGAAATTGTGTCTCCCTGTCGCACTCCCCGTTTTATTTTAAATACGTTGGTCTTTTTATCTGCCAGTTTCACGCTTGCTGTCCCATTTTGATAGATGTATTTTATCATGTTTATATAGCGATGATCTATACGGCACTCTGTTAAGGCTTTTAACATCTTTTGATGACTTATTGTGTCGAAAGCTTTTTCGTAGTCAACAAATATCATGACTAATGGCTTGTTATATTCAACACTCTTTTCTATTAAGTTCTTAATTACTTGTAAATGATCATTCGTGCCATATCCTGCTCTAAAACCTGCTTGCTCTCTTGGCTGATAGAAATCCAACTTACTTCCTAGCCTGTTGGTAACAACTCTTGTAAATAGCTTATATACTTGTGACAACAAGCTAATGGGGCGGTAGTTTCTAGGGTCGCTGATATCTCCCTTCTTATGAAGTAAGATGATTTCCACCCTCATAAAAAAAAGGTTCTTTACACGCAATATTTTTATTCACGAAAAGGTCAAGTTGTTATTATGAATTAAATTATTAAATGATTATTAAGATTAAAAACCTTATACCATATAACCTATATCTTATAAGAAATTCCTGTTCCTGAAAAATAAAAATCCAAATAAAGTGTTTGTCACTTACTGAACGACCTTCGGAAATAGACATCTTCGATATTTTTAATGAACCCTCTGAAACGCTCTTGACCATTTAATTTTAATAAAAGTAATTTTGTACTGTGAATTTATAGAAAAGTCCCCGTATCCGATGAGAAAGGGATCCTCACAAAGACGTGTGTGTTCGCTGTAATTTTACCCGCTCTAAATTTATTGGTGTGTACACGTTACATACCACTAGATTTATTATAGCTGAGTTGAAGCATAATTAGCCCATTGTTTCATAGTTTTACAGTTTTATCTGTTAAATTATTGGCCCGCTGGATCATTCAGGAACCGCAGTATAGGCCAGCCAAATATGTTTCGACTTTTAATGTCATTACATACACACAATACTACATGTATGTTTGCCAGCTGTATATCTTCATTGCAAAATATCTAGTTGATTACTTGGGTTTACAAGCGTTATCGACATAAAACTAAATTTCAGATACAATAAAATTAAAAACAAATTTATGCATCCTTGGTCCTTCGAATATTCTTTTCTAGCTTCTTTCTTTTAAAAAACGTTCCACTATGCTGAGAAAGTTTGATTCAATTCTCCCAATATTTGAAGCATTACCAAAGACAAGCCAAAATATGGCATAAACTGATAATGTATTTTATATTCACTTGGAAAAATATATAGTAGGGGAGAGGGGGGCAAGTTGTTACACGGGCAAGTTGTTACACAATTATTTTAAAACGCAGCAAGTATCATGAGTTGCCGATATTTTATGGAAAGTTGGGTCAACCGACCCGTCATCTGTGAACGGATATTGATACTCAAGTCAGACATCCATCATAGTGTTATTGCTTAGAATGTGGTTTCGGGTCTAAAACTGTACCGTTGTCAGGTGGCTTTTGTTTTTATTTGTGAGAAATTGGTAAGTAGTATAAATATGTGTATTATATAGTTTTGAAGCGTATATATTTCTCGTTATTGGCATGCTATTGTTAGTAATTGATTCTCAATATTTACCAAAAAACGTTGACTTAACCTCATTTCGTACACGTGGGGCCAGTTGTTACAATAATCTGGGGCCAGGTTGTTACTGTAACAACTTGCCCCGAACACGTTAATGTAAGAATATATCGAAATACCTACAATGGTTACAATATGGTTACCATAATTTATGATTTCACTAAAAATCCAATATTATGATCAGACATATTTTGTAGATAGTAATTTGTTTGTAATGAATAGCATACCTACCTACATTTATTTTCGCAAAGCATGTTAGAAACACAGATTAGGTTTTATTAAATTTTTCTATCATGAAATTGTTTTGGTTGTTTTCAGATAGCTTAACATGGTGCGAACGTATACCAAGAAAACCACAAGGGGTATTATTCCAACCGAACAATTTGAAAGGGCGGCGCAATCGGTTTTACAAGAACACTTGTCAATTTAGGTGCTGAAAACAGTAACAAGAACTTAGTCGTCTACGGCTACGGCCAGAAAAATATTTAACAATGCTGAAGAAGAGGAACTTGCCGAATATACTGAGCATTCTGCTAAAATTTATTACGGTCTTACAACTTCTGATTTGAGAAAATTTGCATTTCAATATGCAACAGCCAACCAAATATCTGTTCCGGAAAATTGGAAGGTTAATGAAATAGCTTCCAGAGACTGGCCTATATGGATTTTTGAAGAGGCATCGAACTTTATCAGTCCGGACACCTGAAGCTACTAGTATGGGTCGAGCTACCGCGTTTAATCGTCATAATGTGTCACAGTTTTTTAACAATCTCGGCGAAGTTTATGATAAATATAAATTTGAGCTCCAAGAAGTGTACAATATGGACGAAACTGGACTTACAACTGTCCAAAGGCCTACAAAAATCATTGCAAAAAGGGGAACTAAGCAGGTAGGTGCTATCACATCTGGAGAAAGAGGTCAACTTGTTACCTTGGCATTAGCTGTCAACGCAACTGGAAATTTTGTACCTCCATTTTTAATATTTCCGAGAAAGAAATTCAAAGATGTTATGGTAGCCAATGGACCTCCTGGTTGTGTAGGTGCGTCTCATTCCTCTGGATGGATGACATGTGATAACTTTTTGTTGTTTATGAAACATTTCGTCCAGTTTGTACGATGTAGCAAAGAGAAACCCGTTTTGATGGTATTAGATAATCACGAGTCTCATTTGTCTATTCCGGTGTTGAATTTTTGCAAAGAAAATGGAGTGGTTCTTTTAAGTTTCCCGCCACATACATCACACAAGTTGCAGCCGCTTGATAGGACGGTATTTGGCCCACTTAAAAGATATTTTAATAGTGCTGCAGATGCATGGTTAAGATCTAATCCCGGTAAAGTAATGAACATTTACGATATACCTATCGTTCTTAAAGATTCATTTCCTCTTGCTGTTACACCTCTCAATATACAAAAAGGATTTAGTGTGACAGGAATTTGGCCATACAACAGAGAAATTTTTCAAGATGATGAATTCTTGCCTGCAGAGGTAACAAATAGGCCAATAACAGAAAATATAAACGCAACAGTAGTCATAGATCCGGCACCTATTGGCACCGAAACACATAGAACTCCTTCCCAACAGCAACCTTCTACAAGCACAGATTTTAACTTGGCGATAAATGAACCTGTCGATTCACCTACTCATATAACGCCCCAGGAGTTGAAGCCTTATCCAAAAGCAATGCCAAGGAAATCCAAAGGGGGTCGGAAGAAAAGAACTTCCGCTGTTTTGACTGATACTCCCATTAAATCAGCTTTGGAGGAGGAAGAAAAGGCAAGACAAAGAAAAAAAATGTGGGGGCAACCAAAAGAAACATATCAGGTGAATCAAGAAACAAGGTAAAAACTACTGTTAAAAAATGTAAGAAACGGACCGTCATTACCAAAAACACCTTCAAAAAATCAGATTCTGAAAGCTCGGAAGAGGATGAGGAATCGACGTGTCTGGTATGTTTAGCTCCATTTTCGAAGTCCAAAAACGAAGAATGGATTCGGTGCATTGTGTGTCAAAAGTGGGCACATATTGCTTGTGGAAAAGACGATGATTTTTATATTTGTATTCACTGCTCGTCCGATAGTGACTAGTTTAACATTCTTGTAAACAGGTTTGTTCAGATTTTCATTTTTTATTTTATTTCATTTTGTGTTATGTTTATAATATTTTTTGTAGCTAAGCAAGGGTTCTTTCTGTGACCACTAAATAATGTTGTGGGAAGTTTTTAGAATTTTTTTTTCTATTGTAACATCTTACCCCATGGACTGTAACAATTTGCCTCATAGTGGGGTATGTTGTTACAATTTACAAGTTGAGTTAAATTGATAATAACAAAATGTTAAATATGATTTTTTAAATAAATTAAAATTAACATTATTTGTGTAAATGTATCAACTACCTTAATCCGATTTTAGTTTTCATATAAAAGATCTACTATTGCCCAAATAAATAATAGAATCAATTATGTAACAACTTGCCCCCCTCTCCCCTATTTATTAGTTTTAAATTAAAAAAAAAAATGCAAAATTACAATGTTTCTAAGTTATATCGGTAAGTTATATCGGTATATCGGTATATTTATTGACTAAAAAATAACAATATTACTCAAATTTTTTCTTAAGTGACGGTTTCGTTAGTGCAGCTTGACTGATACTGACAAAATGAATAACAATGACCTTTTAAGTGCAATTCTCTTAGAAGAAGTGAAATAAGAGGAGTAAACAATTAAAAAAGGAGCTTCATGAGGAACAATTTTTGCAGTGCATCCTTCAGGTTGAATTCAAATTAACTCCTTCACTTTTATTATTAGATGGATTAGTTCAGAATAACAAATCTGAGACACGTGCCAATATATCAACATGGGATTCTTGCGAAAAACCATTTTATCTCCTTCAAAGAACGACTAGGATCAGGAAAATATCATGAGTTTAAATATTTCATAAATATTCTTGTTTACGTTACTGGTCTTCTACATATTTTTCACTTAAGATTAATCAAGAAAAATACTTACGTATGCATCCTTGGTAGCCGGCAGATATTTTCGGTAGTCCCCAGAAACCAGGTTCACATCGATCACATTTAGTTCCCCCAACGCCAGGCTTGCATTTGCACTGCTTGGTTTCTGGATCGCAAATATCTGAGTAGGATCCTAGTTTGTTACACTCACAAATCGATGGACAGCCACCAAAATTTTGACCTTGAGCCGGTGTTTTTCCGTCTGGGCAACAACCGAACCAACTTTCTTCGCAGTCTTTTTTCTCTACTACTGCTTCGTCTGGAATGGAATACTATTATGAGAATCATATTTTGAATTTTTTGTAGTTGCAGAATGCACTTTTTTTATAGGTTTAGGTAACAAAACTGGTTTATATTGTATTAATTGATCTTAAGAAAATATGTGATAGAGTTTTATTATAAAAACAAAAATATGTTGCATTTAAATACTTAATTTATTAAATGCTATGTATCATAATTTAATAAATTTAGGTATTCTGACATCTGTCAATGTCATCTGTCAATATCAGAATTATATTATATTAATGTAAATTTTATAAAATAAAGTGCTCAAAATGGCAAAAAGCTGAAACGTTTAAGCAATAATTAAGTACAGATCATTCTTTGTACTGGGGCTGTATGATCCATACAGGTCTATTATTCACATTAAACAAGGAAAGAGTGTCTTTGTCCTTGTTTAAGAAATCAAATTCAGTTGGGTTATATTATTGTTTGTTCCAACTGTCAATGAAATCTTATTTTATATTGAAGTTTTTTAACAATTTTGTCACATTTTAGACTATTATCGTTAATATTTATTTAAAAGTTTCTCGTCTAAGACACATTCTGAAAATATTTTATAGCTTCTGTGTCAGAAAATTTAAATTTGGTGCCTTTGCATTTCCGGATATATCCGCCATATTAAGAGGCCTCTTTTATGAATTTTGGTCTCCTTTTCATAACGATTAGATTTCATCTTTTGTCTTTTTGCGCGATGGTCTGTACTTAATTAATTAATATATCATCTTAATTATATATATCAGGAAATAAAAAAGTTTCTATACTACACAAGCAAACTTATATGGAATCACCATTTATTTCAAACCTATGTGTATTTATTTTAAAAAACCTTTTTAAAGTTATTGTTGCGAAGAATAAATGTTTTTATTGAAAATTACCATATCAATAAAACAATCAGATAACACAGCTCGGTACGTCATATATAATTTGCAGGTGCAAAGATGAAAGATTATTGGTCTTGTGGAACAAGGAATGTCTCAGAGGGACATAGCGGCAGTGGTTAGCATATCACACAATAACAATGGCTCGTCACTACCGTTTCATTGGCCAATTAGCTAGAAGAGACGCAATAATTTCTCACCCACAGCTTCAAAGACAACTTTGGAAGCTACAGCTGTAAGTATTTCATTTGAAATAATAAGAAAAAGACTTCTTACGTAAAAGACTTTACAGCAGTAAATAGTTACGGATTCCCGAGTTATGCAGACAACTCAATATTGATCGCTTAAATTGGTCTCTTTAACACTAAAACTAGAACATTGGAAATTAGCAATATGTGCTATTTTCAGTCGAGGACCAGGATTTGTAAAAAATATTATAATCAACGAATTCATATACTTAGAGAGCGAAGAAGACAAGCAAAAACGGAAATTACCAGATCTGTTCACAGATATAAAGGAGGAAGTGTCAGGTTCTGAGGAAGCATTTTAATCGATAAAAAAAACATCTTTAATTTTTATCCAATAAAACTTTAACAGCTCTTAGGTATATTGATTTTGTTCTTGTAGTTATGCATGATAATGCGCCTCCACATACCAGCAGAGTGATTATATACTTTCCTAAAGTAGATATCACTGTGCTGGAATAACCCACTTGACCTTAAACCTATAGAGCAATTGTGGAAAAAGCCTAAAAGAAGAATAAGAGCTCACAGTGAGAATCTACGAAGCTCTTTACAGGTAGTATAAGCTGCTCTTACAGAATGGAGCAACCTGCAACAACAAAATATTGACAGTTTGTTTGGGAGCTTGTCCACGCAAATTAAAGCTTGCGTAAGGATTAGGGGTGGTTACATTAAATACTAAAAAAACACCACAAATAATCAAAAATAATTTTAAACATTATTATTTCAAGTAGGGGAAGTACATGGGGCGCACGTCCTGGCGTTTTAAGAACAACGTAACAGGCACTGTGTTTCTCAACTGCTGAATATGCGTGCCCCGTTTGGAGCAGATCTGCCCACACCAAACAAGTTGATACTGTGCTAAATGAGACATGCAGGATAGTAACGGGGTGCATGAAACCAACGCCACTTTCAAATACACAGAGGCGTTGCAGAACACATAGAGAAAATTAAACAGATCGAGGACGATCGGCATGCCCTATATAAGCTCGAACACCACGAAAGCGACTAAAATCTAGGAAAAGTTTCCTTGGAACAGTGCAGGATGAACCGCCTGAGTATTTTTCGCTTCCCCAGGTTCAATGGACCGGCCAGACCCTAGACTTTAAAACGTGGAAAACCTTGAATAGGATAAGAACGGGGGTTGCTACAGTAAAATCAAACATGGCAAAATGGGGAAAAATAGACCAAGATGATGTGAACTGTGACTGTGGAGAAACACAGAATATCGAACATCTTCTTACATGCAGAAACTGTCCTCATCGATGTACCCTTGAAGATTTGTGGCTCGCCAACAAAGATGGAACCGACGTAGCCCGATACTGGGCCGAAATTTTATGAATGACATGTCCGGACACGATAAAGTAAGTAACATTATTATTATTATTATTTACAATAAATTTGAGCAGGGGTCGCAAAACCCATATGCCCATGTGAATACAATGTTATATAGTGTGCAATTAAATGGTTACATTACAATAGTTACATATTAAGCACTAACTAACTAAATAAATATACAAAAACATAGGTAATAGCAAGTGTTTAGTACAAATTAAATGTTCAACTATGGAGCAAATGGTCATCCAGTTTATTTTTGAAAATATTGACAGATGGAGCATCTATGATCTCAGCCGGAAGGCTATTCCATATCGAGAACACTCGATTACAGAGAAAAAATTGTCTAGTTGTTGTTAAAAAAGTTTCCTTTTTAAACTTAAGTTTGTGGCCACGAAGACGATTGTCATTGTCTAGTATAAACATATCTCCCCACATTTCCAAAGTTGTGTTATGTATTCACTGTTTTTAACATCTTCGAAATAGAGTAAGGAAGACACGGATTATTTTTACACATGTGAAAACTACACATTTTTCCACATTAAGAGGCAGCATCCAAGTAGAGCACCATTCCGATATGCAATCAAGATTATCTTCTAGAAACTGGAAATTTACGGAGGGATCGGAAAATAGCTTCGTGTCATCTGCATAGAAAGCTTTGTTACATTTAATGTGAAATTGTAGATCACTTGAGTATGCTATGAATAAAAGTGGGCCCAAAACTGATCCTTGCGGTACCCCACTTAAAACCGTTCTCTCAACTGAGAAAGAGTCCCCAACTCTAACACAAAACTTTCTATCTGTTAAATACGCGTCGATCCATTTCAGTAATTGACCACGGATACCAAGGTGTTCCAATTTATGTAATAGTCTTCGCTTTGGAACTCGATCAAAAGCTTTAGCAAAATCGAGGTAAATAATGTCTACCGGGGCTTTTCTGTCTAATGCTCTTGACCATTCATTGACACACCAGAGAAGATTTGTCATTGTAGAACGTCCTTTGACAAAACCATGCTGCTGTTCTGGTATAACCAGTTCATTTTGCAGAAAATCAGAAATTGTCTCGGCAATAATAGATTCCATTATCTTAGATATTATAGGTGTTAAGCTGATAGGACGATAGTTATTAGGATCCAATTTGTTCCCTTTCTTAAAAATCGGTGTTACAGATGCGGTTTTCCATATAGGAGGCAAAATATGTGTGGTGAATGATAAGGACATAATCACATATAGTGGGTAAGCTAAAGCATCAGAACATTTTTTTAAAAATAAAGAAGATATTAAGTCGAGACCAGGAGACGAATTATTTTTTAGGCTTTGAAGATGATGTTTAACTTTTTCAGGAGTAATGATTATATTTTCAAGAGAAGAAGAAACAAGAAAAAAGAAAAATCAAAGAAGCGACTGTAATTATGCTAAATAAGGCCAATTGTGTCGCAAATTCCTCGGCAGAATGTAGTAGGATCTGGTTACCAATATTGAAAGAGGAAGTTATTAATAAGAAAATACCAGTATTAGTAAGTCAGAAACATATAGAGGATACATCATTTATGTTTTTTAAATAACGAAACATAGAAAATCAGAATTTTGGTGTTTATTGAAGGTAAACTAAATGCTCGAGCAAATACTTATCATGTCGGGATAGTATTATAAGGTTTTTTTCCTGGTTTTTCCCTCATAATTTACTATGGAATCACTAACAGGAGAATTTTACTGTCATCATGTCATGTGTTTGTCTTTTTAAAGACGAATTACATGCTATGATTTTTTAAAATGCAGAATGTATGTCTGAATTATTGTCAATATAAATGAGTCAGATAAAATTAAATTATTAGAAGAATTTTTCACTATGTAACAAAAAACAAAATTTGTTTAATTTACTGTTTGTATTTTGAGAACGATTTCCGAAGTGGAAATTGAAACGTCAATAAACGTAATTTTATATTTAATTGTGGCGTATTCCAAGTTAAATAGTAGGTAATTAGAAAATTTTTATGTTATTAAGATTAAAACAAGTGGGTTTAATTTATTATTTTAGGAGTTTATCGTTTTCTTTAATTTTTATGTATGGCGATTAAATTGTTTTAAAATAGATATTGTTTAATTTGGTATGTTTTTTTTTTAAATTCGCTTGAAATAATAAAAAATACCAGATGATTCCATATAACTTTGGTTGTGCGTATATATATATATATATAATATATATATATATATATATATATATATATATATATATATATATATCTACGTATTCGGTTATGATCTTAACTATTTTACTTACTTTTTCGACAGCACTTCGAAAATTTGGCGGTTTGATGGCAATAACTTCCCGCTGGACAGTCCTGTCTAAAGGGACCATTACCACAGTCAAGTTCTCTTTCTGTCACAGGGTCCGTCAACGGCTTCTCGCCTTTGCAAGGTTTAACTTCCATCCCTATAGGAGAAGACTTAGAAGTGTAAAAGTAATAAAACAATAGTAAATGTCGTCTTGAAACTTACGACATTAACACGAAAAGTACGTAATGTACGGAGAGTGCAACTAAAACGTTAAGCGTGTATTGTGGGAGAGGTGTAAAATTTTGAAAGGTTTTTTTTACAAAACTTTTTACATTTAACTATGTTGTGTATTGTCTAAGCAAGTTTTATTACTTTTTACAAACACTTAATAAACAAAATTTTTTTGCACGTGTATCTTAGGGAAAAGTTCAAATTTTACGAAAGATCAGAAAATACAGATTTCGAGTAGATTCGAGTGATTTCGAAAGCAAACAACCTTATTTGAAAGTGCTACAAAAGCTGTAAAGAACAATTAAAGAACAATAAATCACCGGGATCGGATTAAATATCATCGGAGCTACTGAAAGAAGGAGGAGACGCATTACTTAAAGCCATACATGAGCTGATAAGAAAGATATGGTTGAATAAACAGCTACCAAAGGAGTGGAATAGCGGCATTATTGTACCACTACATAAAAAAGGAAACCAGTTAGAATGTGAAAACTACCGTGGAATCACGCTGTTGAATGCGGCATACAAAATAATGTCCAACGTAATGTATGAAAGACTTAGACCATACGCTGAAAAAATAGTTGGCAAATACCAATGTGGCTTCTGTAGACAGAAGTCAACAATAGACCAGATATTTGTTCTGCGACAGATCCTTGAAAAAACAAGTGAATATAACATCGACACACATCATCTCTTCATAGACTTCGAAAGCGCATATGACAATATAAACCGAGAATTCCTAACAAAAGCAATGAAAGAATTTAATATACCAACACAGCTAATAGAATTGATAAAAGAAACACTAAAAGTAGAAAGTAAAATCCGGATACAAAACGAATTAACGGAAACAATAGATGTGAAGAAGGGACTACGCCAGGGAGACGCTCTATCATGCATATTATTCAACATCATACTTGAAAAAATAATAAGAGACACAACAGTTAATACCCGAGGAACAATAATTAATAAAAGCGTGCAAGTACTAGCATTTGCAGATGATGTTGACATAATCGCAAGATCAAGAAGAGAAATGATAGAGGCATTCACTCAAATAGAACGAGCTGCAAAAAATAGTGGTCTTAAAATCAATCAGACAAAAACAAAATATATGCCTGCAAATAAAAACGCACAAATAAGGCAGCTGCCAAATTTAACAATAGGAGAATACAACATTGAGGCGGTAAAAAACTTTACATACTTAGGATCCCTAGTTACGTCTGATAACAACGTTGCAGAGGAAGTGAAGAGGAGAATATTTATTGCCAATAAATGTTACCATGGCTTAATTAGGCAACTAAGATCAGATAACGTCTCCAGAAAAACAAAATGCCAAATATACAAAACCTTAATAAGACCGGTACTCACATACGGTTCAGAAACCTGGACACTCTCTAAAAGGGAGGAAACGTTATTAGCCACCTTTGAAAGAAAAATCTTGCGACACATATATAAGGGCACAAAAGAAAACGGGATTTGGCGGAGAAGGTATAACTTTGAACTATACAACATATACCAGGATCCGGATATCATAACATTCATTAAAATAGGAAGGCTACGTTGGATTGGACATGTGGAAAGAATGGAAGAAGGCGAAATACCAAACAAAATATTCAAACAAGTGCCAGTAGGAAAAAGAACAAGAGGAAGACCGAAGCTGAGATACGTAGAACAAATAGAAAATGATATAACAACATTAAAAATTAAAAACTGGAAAAAAAAGCACGAAACAGGTCAGAATGGAGAAGAATCCTTGAACAGGCCAAGACCCAAAAAGGGTTGTCGAGCCAGTGATGATGATGATGATGATGACAAAAGCTGCAATTTTGAATAATATATGACAATAAAAGTTGAAGAAATATATGAAGAATAATATAATAACTTTCTAATATAGCGAAATGGAAATATAATTTATAAACAATTTAAAATATACGTTTCATCAGGCTAGCTACGCTTAAGTATGTTCTGATAATTGATAATTCTCATAAAATTTGTGCCGAGCTGCTCATATCGGATCCCAGAGAAGAATACAGTAGAATACATCTTGTTTCTAAGTTTTTCTAAAATCGTTATGGTGTGTATAATTTTTTGCGATATATATCCTGGTTCTAAGCTTTGTTATTACCAAGTGATGTTCTGAATCAATATTAGCTCCTCAAAAACTTCTGCAACCAATGATGTCTATTCCATGCTTAGTATTTATTATTACATGATCTTTTTGAGGAACTTAAAATATATAGAAAACCTCAACAGAGGAAAACAACTCAAAGCATTTAGAGGAACAGAAAAGAATTCAAGGCAACTACAAGTTAATGCAGAAGTCAGAAATGGTAAACAAGGAAATATGTATTGAATAGAGAGTGGAATACTTTAACCAAGAACTTAATAAAGAGGAAAAAGAAGAAAACCTAGAAAACGAAAGAGATGAGGTAAGCGACACAGACGAGAGGGAAGAGGAATCCAGAAGAGAAAAGAAAATCTCCCTGCTGAACTATATAAACAAGGTCACCACGATACCATAATGGCACTACAGCAGCTCATACAAGAAATATGGACACAGAAATTTCTACATACTGATTAGAATATTAGAATACTTTGCACCATACACAAAACAGAGATATTTTTGAATTTTCTATTCACAGAGAAATTACGCTTCTAACTGCAGCGTAATATTTTCCACAGTACTATGCAACCGTATGGCACCATATGTAGAACGATCAGTAGGAAAATACCAGGTTGGTATACGAGATGGTAAATCGACAATTCATCAGATTGCAACCCTAAGACAAATTTTAGGAAAAACACTGGAATATGGTATAGATACTCATTACATACTTATAGACTACACAGCAGCCTACGACTCTGTAAATAGAAGAGAAATGTTCAAAGAAATAATAAAACTATGAATACCAAATCAGTTGGTAAATTGAAAAAAACTAATTCTTGAAAAATTTTAATGTAGAATACGAATCCAAGAAGAACTATACGAACCTGTTAAAATTAAAAACAGGTTGCGCCAGGGAAACCCTCTCTCGTGTATACTGTTCATCAAACTCTTCTTCTTCTTCAAGTGCCGTCTCCATCAATGGAGGTTAGCGGTTATGGTGGCAAACGTTTGTCTATCTTCAGCTGCTCTTAAGAGTTCCTCAAATCCAAGTCCTGTCCAGTTTCTGATATTACGTAACCAGGACAATTTTTTTCTTCCAATTCCTCGCTTTCCTTCTATTTTGCCTTTTATTATCAACTGAGGGATGTAGTATTTCTCGTTGCGCAACAAATGCCCTAAATAACTGGTTTTTCTTCTTTTGACTGTTCTCAATAGTTCTTCTTCTAAATTGAGTCTAGCTAGTACTTCTTCATTTGTTTTTCGTGCTGTCCAAGGAATTTTTAAAATTCTACGGTATACCCACATTTCAAATGCCTCGATTCTATTCAGGCTCTTTATTTTTAAAGTCCACGTTTCGACTCCGTAGAGAAGAACAGACCAGATAAAACATTTTACAAGTTTTAATCTCAATTTAATATTTATATGTGTATCGCAGAATAGAACGCGCATCTTAAAGAAACTATCCCTAGCTTGAGCAATTCTCGCTTTAATTTCTTGTTCTGGGTCCAGCTTGCAATTAATCCAACAGCCAAGGTATTTGTATTGGTTTACCTGTTCTAAAATATTCCCATTTATTTCTATAGGTAAGGGGATATTCTGTTTTCTTTGGATCACCATTACTTTTGTTTTTTTTTTCGTTGATCTTCATTCCAAACTCTCGACAAGCATCCTTAAGGTGGTCTATAACCCTCTGTAAGTTTGTGTCTGTATCAGCCAGTAGGACAGTGTCATCTGCATATCTTATGCTAGATATTGGTTCTCCATTAATTTTTATTCCTGTGGAAAGGTTTTCCAAGGCTTGCTTGAATAGTAGTTCCGAGTAAAGATTGAACAGCATAGGGGATAGTATGCATCCTTGCCTTACTCCTTTATTTATACTAATATTTCTAGATGTATGATCGTCGATCCTAATCTTGGCACTCTGCCTCCAATATAAGTTCTTAATTAATCGGAGATCTTTACTATCCAAGTTGATGCTCTGCAAGGAATTTAACATTTTATTATGGTTTACGCGATCAAATGCCTTTTCAAAGTCTACAAAACATAGAAAGACATCCTTTTGTTGGTCGTAACACTTCTGCAGCAGTACTTGTAATGAAAACAAGGCCTCTGGTCCCATTCCGCTCTGAATCCAAATTGATCGTTTTCAACTTCTTTTTCACACCTTTTGTATACCCTATTGTGAATTATTTTTAATAGAATTTTAAGCACTTGGCTCATAAGACTTATTAATCTAAAATCTGCGCATCGCCTGGAGTTAGCTTGTTTTGGAATGGGAATAAAAATAGATTCTAACCATTCCTCTGGTATTTCCCCAGTATCGTAGATTGTATTAAACAAAATTACTAACAAATCAATGTTATTACTTTCGATCAATTTAAGTATTTCAGGATAAACTTCATCAGGTCCAGGGCTTTTGTTGGTCTTTAATTGTTTAATGGCATATTCCACTTCGACTTTTAGAATTGGTGGGCTTTCAGTAACATTATTTATTGTAGTGTCTATTCTTTCATCTCGGAACAGCTGTTGTATAAATTTTTCCCATTCTTCTATTTTATCTTTGGTGTTATGAATTAACTCTCCGTTGTTATTTACCAGTGGGCAATGTTGTTTTTTGCGGATGAATGAAAATTCTTTCACCTTCTTGTACATATTAAAGTAATCATGTCTATGTTCTAATTCTTCTATTTCTTTACATTTTTCTTCGAGCCATTTCTCTTTTGATTCTTTTATTTTCCTTCGTATTTCTGTATTTAATCGTTTGTAATCGCTTGTGTTCTTATTTTTGTATTTCCTCCTTTCGTCTATCATCTTTAGAATAG